TTATAGTTTATTAAATAAACTATAGGATTAATATAGTAAAAGATGATTTATATATTTGAATTAGCCTGATTAGAAAATCTCGAAGTGTGATTTTCCTAGCAAAGATTACATATAATTTTTTTAGCTATTTAAAATACAAAATAGTCTTATAATTTGATTTCACAATTTTTAACAGCTATTAGATAATTTCTTTCCTTTCTTCACATACGTATAGTGAGTAAATATATTTAGTAATTATTTATCTAAAATCGTACATTGAATTATTAATTCTGAAACCTTCTAATAAAACTAATAAAAGAACTAATAGAATTGGTATAACTAATGAGTCAATTGTAAAACTAATTAAACTGATAGAAAACACAATAGAAAGAACTATATATTTATTTAAATTATTTTAAAAAAGATATAGTTAGACTCTTCTAACCGCAACTCCCTAAATGCACGCTCAATAAAAAGCCTCCATAAATGCATGTTTACTTTTAGGCCCACTAATATAACACTTATAGATTTTTGTCTTCTAAATATAGTATCTCTCAATATCCGTTTGACTCAATTTTTATATATGACCCTGCTGCAATATATTTAAAAAGATCTACTCTAATCTTAGTAATTTTTATTTATATAAAAGAATCATTTCATATTATTTAAATCATAATTAGATTGACATAATAATTATGCCTTGTTTCGCAAATACAATTGTAAAAATTAAAGTCGAAAGACAAAAAGTAAATGAAAAATCTGGACTAATCTCAGTATGGGCAATCGGATCATATCCTGTAGGAAGAGAGGATTGTATGATCGAGTTAGTGTTGTTTGTACCAATTGATAATAATGAAAGAGATCCTGATATACATGCTATGTTTGAAAAAGATGAGTTTTATTCAGTTAGCGGAAAGATTGTTCCTGGGATGTATAATAATAATTTAAGACCAAAGGTATTTAATAATAACTACTGATAAAAGATTATAATAGCTATTTATTTATATATTTATTTTTAGATGACGGTTTCATTATCTACACATTTAAAAATCTATGATAAAGCTCTATTATCAAATAAGTGTTCTTTAAATATTTCATTAGTAGGTATTCCTCAGAAAGTACCAAATGAAATAGATAATGATATAAATGCTGCTTTTGAAATGCTAGTTTATGATTATGCTGGCCATGATTTTAATTTTACTATCAAGATTATTTACCCATACCTTAAATTAAGATTTAAATATATAAAAAACATTATTAAACCCAAAGAATCAATTATCTTTGTAGTTGGTATAATGGAAATTATTGAAAATAATTTCTATATATATGCTAACGAGATAAATAATATTGATATTACTAATCTAAATACTAGTAATAATAAGAATCAAGTATCACCAACATCAGCAACATCAACAAGATCAAAGCTTATATTTACTCATCAAAATATTAAAATTGCAGAAATTGATTCTAATGTTAGAGTAAATGAACATCAATATGGAGAATCTTCAGAAAATTCAAATTTATTAGAACATAACAGAAATAATAGAGCAGATAAATACAATCAAGAATTTGTAAAAATTAGAGACGACTCTAGTGATGAGATAAATGATAATATTTTAGAAGATGATAAAGAAGAAGTTAATAACTATAAAAAAAATTTATACAATTATAAAAAAAGTAAAAGACATATGATTCGTAGTTTAGTTCGTAAAAATAAAAAGTTATGCTCTAATGTAGATGATAATGAAAATGAAAAATAGTATTAATATAAGTAAATGAAAATAATTGTTTGATTTTTTTGCTTTAAATTGTATTACAACTTTAATAAAGCTTTTTTTTAGATTTAGATTTTACTATTAAAAATAATAATAAATAAGTACCTTTCTGGTGCATATCATAAATGTCAAGCTATTTTTAATTGGTTTAATTAATCATATAATGTTCTTCAGTCACACGAATGTAAAGAGTTTTAAAATTGAGTTACCCAATATTTAAATTTTGGGTTCTGTAAAATCATTAGGATTTTTAAGTACAGGTAATTATTGTTTCATTGATGGATAAAAGTTGCTAATTATACTGTGGCTGAAATTTTTTGGCCATTTCGGCCACTCAGCAATATTCAAAGCAAAGTTATCAATAATTTATAAAATTAGGCCTTATAAAGATTAAGCCAGAACCGCAGAACCTTATGCAAGCCTTTTGAACACACACAACCATGTAATTGCTTTTAAATTTAAATTTGCGTACAAGAACAGAATTAAAAATCACAAAATTTCTTTAAGAATTAATTGGAGTTTTTTCATATATTTATTCAAATTATTAGAGTTTATTAAATTATTACTACAAATTAGAGATTGGAATTGATAAGTTTCGAGCATTAATTAGTCACAAACTCTAAATTTTCGAGCATCGGTAAAAAATTTTGACCGATGTTCGAATGTTCATTGAGTTTTTAAAAAAT